AATCAGTGCTAAACTGGCCCATTTCCTTTGATAATGTTCTCCACACCCAGGGAGTGGCTTCTTGCTTGAGGAAAAATGCACAAGATTTCTACTTCAGTTGTTTTTGAAGTGACATGCTATTTACCAGTCATGATAGATTTCCTCTGGTGCCTTTATCAACTTAATTACAACAGCCACATACAGTATTTTCATCATACTCCTTGTACACATAAAGACCATCAAAACTTCATCCCTTGACATCTTCCTGCAGCCTATAAAATGTGTGGCCTCTAATTATACTTAAGAAAAGCAGACAGACTACCTAATGTTCTTAAACACATTTATTTGAAGGCAAACCCTACTTATTTTGAACTGATGGTCAATCAATTGTGCTTGGTGTTGTAGCTGCAGCTATTTTGTACTTCTTATAAGGTTCTTTTTCTCTCTAACATATGGAGGTCAAACAGCTAGTCTCATTCACTGAATCTGCAGTACTTTAACTTCACATATATTCAGCATAACATTATATCACATAATTTGTGAAGGACTGTGTGACTCTAATGCAACATCAGATGAAATTGTGGTCAAAAGAGAATTGTGGGCTTCAGAACATGAAAAGCTTCGGCTATATAAATTTTCCTAGTTTTTGAGATGCCACACAGTACTTGCTATTTTTCCTAATTCATGACCACATGTACCCAACACATTACCCAATGTAATGGGGCTGATAGGACCTAAAATTTTGTATTGGTTAGCAAAGGAAAAATATTCTTTTCAGAATATTGGTTTCTATTATAACAACTTTGCTTCATATGGAAGTAGAGGTAGGGTGTCTTTTCCCCTCCTTCACCTATACTTGTCATATATCTTATTTCGGATACCATTGTCAAGCTTCTCTTTGCTTGTCACTTGGCTATTGAGGTACTGGTCTTTTAAATAATTGCTTCTTATTTCCTCTATTCCTCTTTCACTGCCGCCATCCTTTAGCAGCCCCCACGTGTGCATATATACAACCCTTTCCTCAGACTCTTACATAGCATCACTCAATTTGAAAAGAAAAAATACGGTTTTATTAAAATCAGTGTTAAAAATAATGTTCCTAAGCATTAAATTCAATCAGCATAATCCTTTCCTCTAGTACTTCTTTCTCTTCAATCCATCCCTCAGACTTCTGTTTCGAACCCCAAATTCCAAAACCAACCTCTCCCTTGATGCCTTTGTGCCAGACTGCTCTAATCAGACTCCAATCTCCATCCCTCACAGTTTCTCCTAGCCAATCAGAACTTATTCTTACCAACATTCCTCGCTCCCGAGTCACCCCCTCCCGTTACATACTTACCAAACCATATAAACAACACGTTTACATGTGTTTTGGGCATCACAATATCCTCTCAATGGATGGAGTCGTCTGTACTGAAAAGGCCTCTGGCAGAGTGTGGACTCAAACTTAGCTTTATGGTTTAGAACCTTTCGATCTGTCAGAGCGCCTCTCCCTCAGGTCATCCTTCGGTCCCACCGGCATCCCCCATGCTTTAATGTTGCGGGTGAGGCCTGGAAGGCATCAACCAGAAACCAAGCCTTTTCAGTAGCGGCTCTGGAACTCGCTTCCTGTGGAGGCGTGATTGGGTCCCACCGGCACCCCCTATGCTTTAATGTTGCGGGTGGCCACTCCAGAAGAGGCCTGGAAGGCATCAGCCAGAAACCAAGCCTTTTCAGTAGCGGCTCTGGAACTCACTTCCTGTGGAGGTGCGACTGGCCCCCACCCTCCTGAGCTTCCGCAAACAAATTAAATCCTGGCTTTTTACCCAGGCCTTACCAAGCACCACCCTTTTGTAAAATTATGCTGGCCTGTTGTCTGGCATCCTGTGTCCCAGATGGGTGATTCTGTGGGGGAGGGTTTAATTTTTTTTCTTTTAATACGTTCTATATGGTTTTAACATTTTTAGCTGTAGGTTTTATAATATTTTGTAAGCCGCCCAGAGTAGTGGCATGCTCACTGAATGGGCAGGGTATAAATTTAAACAAACAGACAAATAGTCAGGGACAGTAGTGGATGCAGTAATGGTAACTCAGGTGTCTCTTACAAGAGTGCTCATTTGGCAAAGATGTCCTTTGAAATTCTCACACAGAAAATCAGCATAGTGCTTCATTTTAATACACATCTTAACTATACGGACAGAAGTGGTCAAGGTGTAACCCATATCTTGCATGTGCCCTCCCCCCATGACCTCCTCCCTATTCTTTGCTCCAAAATGGGAAATTGTGTCACCAGATACAGGACAACTGTGTTTACAATGCAAACTGCATCCACTCCCAGAAGCCTCTACCATTTGTGATAGAACGTTTTTGAGGAAACGGTTTTTATTCCTGTGGTGACAGCCCTCAATGCTCAGAGGAAGGGGAAAATTGTTCCCCATATCCTTAGATGCTGCCCCTCCCTGGTTGAGGACCTAATACATGACCTATTCTCCTACCTGTTGTCTCAGAAGCAGCAGTAAACATCTGTATAACAGGGCTGGGAAACAAAGGACCTGTTGATAATAGTCATTAACCTAGTAGACAAAGAGTATAGTTTTAAATATCAACAATAGCGAAGTCAAACACATAATATAACTACATATTTCTGTAAAATTGCAAGAGCTAGTTCACAACAATTCATAGTTGCTCAGGGCATGACACATTAACACAGAGGAGCTACACTTCTCTCTTGGACTGCACAACTCTGAGCAGCATGGTTTGGGTTATACATGGATTTTTTTCAACAAGTAAATAAATATACAGTAAATACATATTCAATACATATTGTGCTACTGTTCACCTCCAGGAGGTGGCCTGAGAAATGTGGGTCTTGGACTTAACAAGGCCCCTGTTGTTAGTGGTGTGGTGGCCCCTGGTCTGATGGTGGTGGCCCAGCTGGCCCCTTTTCCTGGTATGGTGGTTCCATGTGGCAGCTGGAGAGGATGCTGGGAGGCTGATGCAAGTTGGGAGAGGTCTCTCTCTCTCTCTCTCTCTCTCTCTCTCTGTGTGTGTGTGTGTATGAATCAACTGTTTATGTTTTGTAGTTATGTTTGGGGGGCATAAGAGTTATAATTTGACCAAACTCCGGGAAGCAGTGGAAGAAGGAGGGCCTGGCATGTTCTGGTCCATGGGGTCACGAAGAGTCGGACATGACTTAATGACTAAACAACAAGAAGAGTTATAAATGGATTTTTAACTACATGGGGGTCCAGCGTCCCTAACCCCAGCGTTGCTGAAGGGAGAAGTGTATTTTTCTCTTCAAAAATGCTTAGCAAATTTATGACACTGAATCATCAATATTCTCGGCATACTAGGTGGCAAACTGTTTATTGATTTATTTGTTACATGTATACCCTACCTCTCCTCTAACAAGCAGAACTCTCTATAGAAGCAAAACCAATGAAACTGAGGCTGCTGTACTTTGGGCACATCATGAAACAACACAGCTTGGTGGGAAAAACCAGTAATGCTGGGAAGAATTGAAGGCAGCAAGAAAAGAGGGAGTCCGAAAGTGAGATGGACAGACTCAAAGAAAACCACAGCCTTGACCTTGCAAGAGCTGAGCTGGGTTTTTGAAAACAGAAAATTCTGGGTCATTCATTCACAGAATTGCAGTAAGTCAGAGATGGTTTCATGGCTGCTGCCACCACCAGCAACAGCAACAGGACATTGCTGGTGAAAGATGCCATATATAAAATTGGGAAACGAGCGGGTTTGTGGTGACATTATCCGATTCTGTAACAGAGTTCCTATAGTAAACATGGAGGCAAAGCTCACATTTGAATCTACTACAGGGCCTGTTTCTTATGTCTGTATTTCTGTTGCTATATCTATTGTTACATACCGGTCTGTTCGAGTTGAGTGCTTGTCTCTAAGCAAGTATTGGTCTACCATCTGTAGGAGAGAAGGCTAGGGTGTACGTTACTGATTATATCTTTCAATTATTTTATATGGGAATAACAAAAGACAGGCACCTATTGTTTTGTTTTCTCGTTATCTCACTGGCTATGGAAGGCCACAGCAAAGAAACAAACATGCAGCAAACAGCCAGTGCGCATAATTTGATGAAACACATTGCCAATGGAGAGAGTCCATATATGCATTAAGTGACACATTTCTATGAATGAATCAAAACATACATGTGCAACTAATACACTTTTGACTATTTATACTGGAGACTGTGTGAATGCCAGCAATTAAAGGTCCTCTTGACTACATCTCCCAGAACCCCTGATTGCTGAAGATTCTGGCCATTGTAGTCACAAAAAAGTGACCTTTATCTGGTGGGGTACATACTCTTGACTGTCTCTGTAATTTCTTCTTTACCATTTTCCACAATACCCACAACCATTGCCACCTATTCCTTCACAGCCCCCCAATGTTTTGAACAGCCTTCAATTCTTACCTGAGTTTTTTTTCCACACAAGATAAGGCACAAAACATAATCCCAGATTTACTTTATAGCCTTATTTCTGGTTGATTAAATAATCCAAAATAACTACCAACTCCTGGCTGGGTAAAATAATAGTTAAGGCTGCAATACAGGAAGCAGAAAACATGTACAGTATAGGATTTTTTTACATGGACTTCCCATTCTAGCCATTCACTGAAAGAGTGGAGAAATAGCTGCCCTTCTACTACCCCTGTTCCTTCTAATTGGGCGGACAGTGATGTTATTAAATTGTGTTGAAAAAATAACTGGTTTGGGCTCAGTGGATAAGCACTATAAGGGTTTGTGGGATTTTTAAAAATCCATTTGGGCTTCCTATTCATGGGTGAAAAACCAATAACGAGAGGAATGGCATCGGTGTTATTTTTCGCGATGTGAAAAAGCAACGCAGGAGATGCGTAAACAAAACACTGCAGTTGGCAAATGTATGAATGAGAGAGGAAACGGCTCTCATGTAGTAGCGGGAAGTGTACGTGTGGGTGTGTGTGTGGGGGGGAATCCATCCCAGATTTTCCTGGCCGCTTTCTGAGTGACAGATTGACATCATTGGAGGCGTGACAAAGGGTTGAGGTGGGGGCTCGGCGCTGAAATGCTGCCGTGCCGAGTTTAGATCATTCTGAAACAGCAGCTCTTAAGGCGCATAGCAGCCTGCAAAAGTGATATAGCCGCGGCGGACGACGACCACGACGATCAGGAATTTGTTGTCTCTCCGGGCACCCGGCGACTTGGTGGATTTAGCTCGGGTGCCTGCGGATGTGCTTCGGGAGAACGGCGCTTAACCTTTGCATTCGGTAATACTCCTCTGGAGGCTTTTGCAAGGCGTTTCGGAAGTCGCTCAGGTGCTGCGGAATGGCTGTGGTGTGTGTGCTTGCCGAGTTGCTGGCGTGTCGTGTGGAGCCAGCGTCTAGCTAGCTGAAAGGCTCCCGTGCCACCCGGGCTCTCCAAACCACGCGGACTTCGCTTGAGATTGCATTTAAACGCTCGTGGCTTTATAATCGGAAATATGCATTTATATATCCGAACCATCGAAGGCGTCTCTAGGCAAGGCGCAGAAAGCCACTCCTGGTTAAGTAATGGTGCTACAATTTGGGAGGGCTCCTCCCCTCCCCTTGCAATGCTCCCGGGGCGTTTTTCCTTGTTAAGATTGCACGGACCTTCGGTGCAACGATCGCATGTCTCTGTGTGTGTGTGTTTAGGAAGCTAGCTCAGAGTGGCATTGTGTGTGTGTGCCCCCCCCTCTCGTGACGGTGCAAGCAAGCCTGTCAACCAGCCCCGAACAGCAACAAGCACATGGCAGCTTTGCAGAAAAGCACTGCCTCCCTTCTTCCTTCAGGTTGGGAAGTCGCTCCTGGTTTTCCAAGGTGTTTTGTTTTGTGTTGTTTTCGTATTTCTTCCCCCTTTCAACTTCTCCATGTTTATCTCTTTTTTCTTTCCGCTCTTCTCTCTCTCGCGACCAGGCATTCCAGTTGCACTTTGTCTCGCCCAGGATCGGAGCGGCGGGCGAAGGACCATGTGGTGAAAAGGGAGCCTGGATTCGTGGACGCGGCGTGACTCTCGTCGACTCCACGCGCGCTTGCCCGGAGAGACATCGCGCGCCTCCAAGACGGGGCGCGGGGCGGGGGGGGGCGCGCGCAGATCAAGCTCCAAGTTGGCGGAAGGCAGGAGAGACGGCCGAGCGTCGCCGCAGCAGCAGCAGCAGCCTCGCTTCGCAAATACTGCCCGCTTCCCCGCCTCCTCCTCGCTCGCTCCCTCGCTGGCCAAGCCCGTCGTCATATTTCGAGGGGCGCTCCTTCCAGGCCGTGTGGATGAGGCGGGCGATTGAATTGCTCTTGGATCGAGCGCGGCACAGTTCTGCAGAACCAGCTCGATCGCCTTTACCTGCGTTCCTTCGTCGCTGAACGCGTCGCCGCGCTTCGGAGGAAATTCCGTTCCTTTTAGGAACAAACCGCGGGAAGGGAGAGGGAGCGCGCAGTCCGCCCGTTTCCCCCCCTTGAATGGTTGTGCTTCGGAAGAAGAGGGGTTTGGGGGCCAGGCACCTTGGCTTTCCTCCTGCTGGAGGAACCCGCGGTTGCGATCGCTGTGTGCGCCTCGGAGGAAGAGAGGGCGAAGCAGAAGATCGTGGCCTCGCAGACGCGACCGGAGCTGCCGAGCAAGGAAGAGGTTGGGGAGGGGGAACTCGTCCACCCCTCCCGCTTGAGAAATGAGTCCTCCGGTATCTTAAGCCTGCCTTCTCAGCCTCACGCTACCCTATGGATCTAACTTAGAGGGCTGGTGCTTTCACGCGGAGTTTCCATTCCAATATGTAAGTTTGCCTCCTTCCCCTGCTGCCTCTCTCCTCGCCCCCCCCCCCGCTCTCGCTCGCAATATGGATTCTCGCCGCCTTGTTTTGCACGTGTGGCGCTCCCGTCCTTAGCAGGTGCCCTTGCCTTTTCCTTCCCTTGCAGTGGCGTGGGCCCCGTGGGGGGAGCTGAGGCTGGAGAGGCCCCAGGCGGTTACCACAGGGACACGTACGACTTCGCGGGGGTTGTACCGAAGCCTGTCTTGTGTTACCCTCGAGATTTGTAGATCTCTGGACTGCTTACTGAGAGTAAGGAATAGGCTTGGGTGAAGAGGGTGCGACAGCTGGATTTGGGAAATTGAGACCAGATCGACATTTGCTGCCAGGTGCCTTTGTTATGCTCTTACTCAGAAATGCTTGGATTAAATTTTGAGACCCTCGTGTTGTCTACTCTTCTCTCTCACTAAACTACGTCAGCGTGGATTTACTTTAAACTGGGACATAGGGAGTATTGTGATTAAAACTTTTGGGGTTACTTGACTGTTTATACTGGTAAGGTCCTGCTGATGTAAGTGATCAGTTTGTGTGGCTTGCTTCTTTTTTGAATTACATAATAACAGCAACAGTAATTATTGGTGTTGCTACTATCGCATTCCAAGTGTTCTAGAATTTAAATATTGCAAATACTTGGCTAGAAAGCATACTTGATTTTGAAATTGCGTGGTAGTCTTTTGCAGAGAAAACAAGACTTGTGGCACTTAAAAGACTGACAGGTATTATTTGGAAAATCGTCCTTTTTTGTAGAAGACACGTGTATGCACAATAGTATGCAAGAGACTCAGCCTTGACCTGATTTTGAGTGAATTCTCTGGTTGCAAACTGTTCATCATAGATTGAACATCTCTAATTTGGGGTAGTTATCAATATATCCCACTAGTACATGGTCTTGAGTGAAATGGGGATTTTCCAGCAACTTGGAACTAGTGTGTATCCTCTGTATATAAGATCACTATTTCTGAATCCGACATGCAATGCTAGAGGCAGGTTGATGTTGTAATAATAATCCTTATTTATTTAGTGGTTCCTCTGAAAGTGTTCGGAGTATTTTTAGTTTGTGATTGTTACGTATAATGTTGGTAGTTTAGTAAAACAGCCCCTGAAAAACCTTTCTTCTGTGGCCCTTCCTAATGGGAATGTGTGCGTGCGCGCGTGTGTGTTTGTTTAATTGCATGTAGTCAGCTCAGAAGGGATTTCCCCTCAGAGTCTGAGTGAGATTTTAGCGGGTCAGTAGAGAGGCGTGGAGGCTAGAAGGAGGAAATGGTGGGTAAGACAGAGATAAAAAGGCTTCCCCCATTCCTCCACCCCGCCTTTTGAGAAAGCACCGAAGGGGAAGCAAGGAGGGGGGAGGAGGAGTCCTGCGTGCTCAAACTAGCTCGCACAAATCTTTCATATTGGTCTTGAAAGGTAGAGAAGGAGAGTCGTGCAGCTTTAAGCATTGGAAAGTCCGCCTCCCTGAGGTAATGGTAACCTCAGCCTTTTCCCCTCCTCCCACGAATAGGGGGGGGGGAGAGGAGAGCGAGCGAGAGAGAAAATCTTGTTTTCATTCATAACTTTTTCCTCTTCCTTCCTCTCCCGTCAGCTCTGCATTCATCACCTCCTTTGAGCTCAGATTGCAGAGTGGGCAATACTGCCACCTTCCTCTTCGCGCCAGTTCAGTGCTCCTCAGCTTTACTCAAGTCCATTCAGCCAGGCGGTTTTTTTTTCAGCCAGCATTTTCCCTCCCAAATGGAAACGCCTGCCTTCTTAAAGCTGCTGAGAGGATCAGTCAAGAGAAATGGAGTGGTTGCTTCTTCACTCCCAAGACTTAAGGTGAAGCCTGTGGGGGAGAATGTGAAAACGTAGTGGCAACAAAAAAATTTGTGTATGTTCCCCGCTCAAAAAAAAAAAAAAAAAAAAAAAAAAAAACTCTGGTTTTAAATCCTCTCTAGGGAGTAAGCTCGGTTGAATACAAGGGGACTTCCTTCCCAGTATATATATTAATAGGATTGCATGGTTTGTCTAGTTTAGATGGAACAGGACAAAAGTAGGAGGGTTTATACTACCACCACTCTGTGTCTTGTGGGTTTAATATGTGTTTGCTTTGCATTGAAAACAACAGGATTCAGAACAGCTCTCTTCTTTACAGCTTTCTCTTCTCCAGGCTCCTCTGTGTTTATCTAAATAGCATTTTTTTTGGTGCTCTGCATTAGGCCTGCAAAAAGAAAAACTTCAGCGTGAGGCTGATAAAGTCGAGCAGAGTTCTTTGTCTTAAATTCTGCTTGTTGGGCAGGTGCGATAAGCAGTGGGAGAGAATCTGAGCCGTGACTTTGTTCTCGTTGATTTTTTTTTAAAAGGGGAGGTCAGGGGAAGAATATTTTTCTGTAAAGCTGCTGCCATGAGTTCTTGTGGTATTCTAGTCACACGTATCTGTGAGAAAGAAAAGGAAAACAAGAAAGGAGATTGTCAGTTTTTTTAGGTCAATGGGCTTGAGGCTAGTTTTTCTTCCATGTGTTACTGGGAACTTTCTTGGTTCATTTGTATAACTACTAATGAAACACATTTATTTCATTCACTTATAAGCACCTTTGATTTTTAAATTGGTGGCTTAACTGCCTCTTGCACCTCTTCAAAGCTGCTTGCAGGCATAAGGGCATAAAGTCAAACACTCCTGGCTACTGTCGTATAGTGATTAAATACGTGAGCTGAAATACCTGGTTCATATTAATCCATAGTTATGAACTCATTAAGTTACCTTCAGCCTCACTTCTCTCATGTGCAAGATGGAATTCACCATATTGGCCTTGCTTATTGGGTTGGCATGTCTTAAAATGTTTAGGACACTTTGGGAAAGAGGAGAAATCAAGTATGATGTTGCTTTATCTCACTTGTCTTTTTGTGCTGGTTTACATGAAAAATACTTGGATTATTTTCCAAATGAAAGATTTAACTCTTACTGCAGTGCACTTGCAGCAGATTGTAAGAAGAAAGTTTGTCTACTCAGTTTCTGATTAATTAATGAAATACCACTTTGATCAGTGGTTTTCACTTTAATTCCATTAGAAGTAGATATGGATGTTTCAAACAACTTTCATTTCTTTTTGGTCTAATATAAAGAAGGGATTTTCAATCCTATTTTCTATCTACATTTAGACTTTCCCTCCCTGCGTTTAATTTGTCTATATATTTTCCATTGCCATTTGTAAAAATAAGGTGCATATACTTTCACAAAGATCTGATAAGTTCCTATCTCTTCTCCTGACAGCCTTTCCGGCCTCCACCTCCTCCTTTCACACCCTGCCTTATGGTTCAAGAACACTTGGAAACCTATTGTGCAACAGGATGTTGTTTATATTTGGTGTTTTGTTGTAATGAATGCACTAGATAATATTTTTAAGTGATATTGTTACCCAGAAGTAATTCTTCACATATTTTCCTAATTGCTAATAGGATTCAAGTATTATGGAATTGTAGCTTAAAATGTGGTGCTGGAATGTACTGTTGATAGATGAAATGGTTGCCCCCCCAACTTCACCATAAAGATGTGCACAGGTCCTTTTTTAAATAGTATGAACTCAATTTTCCCTTCCCAGTTTATGTGACCCTGAGACTCAGTGTGTGCCACTTTTCTTACGTTGTAGCTAATCAGCGACTAGATGAATAGTCAGAGCTGTGGAACAGCATGTGGGTTAGTTACTTGAGTAAATACCACAGTACAGTGTTGTTTGAATATAATCTTGATGTGCACATATAATGTCGTATTCAGACAGTAGTAGCAATTGAAATAACATGATTTGCAAGCATGCAAGATTTGTATGGCATATATTTTTTTAAATTATAAGGCAATTTTCCGGGTACTTTGTTTATACTTTCAGCTAAACTGATCTAGGCCTAGCAATTAGAACCACCCCTCCATCTATCCTTCCTTGCTGAGATATTGTTATTAGATAGTTAGGGCAATTTGTGGCCTGCCATAATTTTTTTAAAGTTTATTTCCTGTGACTTATCCTCTCTTCAATGCTTCTGTCTTCCTTTTTTTTTTCTTTCCCCTTTTTTCAGAATTTCAGATGCATGCCAGGCCCCTGGTGAATGCCAGACGTAGAGGTTGCTACACATGGAGCCCCAGGGTCAGCATGGCAGTGGTACTTCATTAGTTGTCCTCCAGCAGCCTTTGGATAGCCGGCAAAGGGTGGACTATGAAAGAGACATTCAGCCCACAGCTATCTTATCGCTGGATCAGATCAAGACTATCAGGGGCAGCAACGAATACACTGAAGGCCCATCTGTGGTGAAAAAGTCTGCTCCACGGACAGTTCCTAGGCAAGAAAAACAGGAAAGGACTCATGAAATCGTACCAATTAATGTGAATAATAATTATGAACACAGGTCTAGCCACCCAGGACATGTTTTGCATCAACACAACTCAAGGGCCCCTGTGTTGAGCAGGTCGACGAGCACTGGGAGTGCCGCAAGCTCTGGAAGTAACAGCAGTGCTTCCTCAGAGCAGGGTCTGCTCCTGCGGTCACCGCCATCTCGGCCAGGGCCAGGCCACAGATCTGAAAGGCCCATCTGGACGCAGCCCAAGCCGTCATCTCTGATTGTGGACGACCTGAAGAGTCCCTTGAAAGAGGACTCAACGCAGCACAAGTTTATCTGTGAACAGTGCGGGAAGTGCAAATGTGGAGAATGCACGACGCCCAGGGCCTTGCCTTCTTGCTTGGCCTGCAACAGACAGTGCTTGTGCTCAGCAGAGAGCATGGTGGAATATAGCACCTGCATGTGCCTGGTGAAAGGGATCTTTTACCACTGTTCCAATGATGATGAAGGGGACTCCTATGCCGATAATCCTTGCTCTTGTTCCCAGTCGCATTGCTGGTCTAGGTACTTGTGCATGGGAGCCATGTCCTTGTTGTTGCCTTGTCTGCTCTGTTACCCTCCTGCAAAAGGATGCCTAAAACTATGTCGTGGGTGTTATGACCGGATCAATCGTCCAGGTTGCCGATGCAAGAACTCAAACACGGTTTATTGTAAGCTGGAAAGTTGCCCTTCTAGGGGTCAAGGCAAACCCTCCTGATTTGTGGGGGAGGGGGGGAACATTGAGTTCCTCAGACTGTCCTTCAGGTTGTGGCTGGCTTATCTGTCTTTATTTCCCCCTTCCTCCATTTTCCTTTCCTTTGCTTTCATGCAGACGTTCTTTTCAACTTTGCACCATAGCTTCTTTCTTGGCAAAGGCACATCTGGGTCTTTGGTAAGTATGGCCCACATTCTTGCATCTAATGTTTCCTCTTGGCAAGTCATTTCAGGTTGGTGAGTAATCCCCTCCTGAATGAAGCAATGAGGGTACTGTGTTTTTCTGAAACCTTTTAGTCCTGCAAACAGCTTTCCAAATATGCTATTTCGTTCTCTTGTTTTGTTACACCAATTTTTAATAGCTTCCAAGTGATTATTTTGAGTCTTTCTCCTTTTTTAAAAGGAAGCTTTGTAACTCAGCTCTTTTCATGAAAAGAGAAGCATTAGCTATGCTTGAGTTGGAATGTAGCCTTGCCATCTTTTAAGATATGAACCTGCACTCATTGTGGACCCACCTTGAGAGTTTGTAAAATCTCTTGATCTGGATTGTTAAAACTTACTTAATTGTTCCCACTTTGCACACTGCATCTGGACATTGGAAATGCTATAGCTACACCTTTCTTAATTAGCTTCTATGACTTTCAGATATCTACAAGGCTCTACGTTTCCACTTTTTAAGCTGTTCTTTTGATACTAAAGTTGCTGGTTTCTGCACATCTGAGTAATAGTCTTTGGATATCATTCAGTTTTAAGTTGTGTAAACATTCTTGAATCTTTTAACACTTCTATTATTTCTGTGGTTTAATGACATTTAACTCCAGTCCTGTGCTCAGTAACTTTAATCCTCTCTGTTTTTATTGCCTTAGCCACAAATTGTGGTGCTTTTTTGTATATTTTATGTAAAAACATAAAAGTTAAATTCTGACTATTTTTAAGACAAAGGTTTGTTAAAACTTTTTTTATTGTAAAGAATATTTATTATGTGAATCTCTATTATTTTATGATATTTATTACAAAGGACTGTTCCAAAAATGTACTCCTGTCTGAATATAACAAGATATCAATACTTAACAGAAATAAGGGTGACACAAAGAAAGTACATATGTTAAACTATAATGCAGAAAATATAATAATTAATGAAAACGTCTCTTGGGTTTTTTATTTGTTAATATAACAATATGTTGTTAGCAGTATTAATAAATAAGGCTATAATCCTGTGCCCAGATACTTGGGAGTGAGCACCACAGAACCCAGAGTAACAACTTCTGATGTGTAGGATGGCGTTGTAAGAGTACTGCTGCTTTTATTCCTTTTGTATTTTATCATAATGTGAAACCACTGCTGATGTTCTAGTTTTATTTAATCACAATTTCTTGAAAAATTTAGGTGATTTTTTTTTTTGACCTTGAGATGCTTCACAGTATTCATATATATTGTTCACTTGGGAGAGGGGCAGTTTATGGCCCCTAAACTATCTTTGTGCATCTGTACATTTATTTTTTTGTACATTAGTCACAAATCTGCCTTTAGCGCCTTAATGTCTCTAGTCCTTAAGATTACAAATATATGTGTGAAAGTGACAACATTGCTTAAAAGAGAAGCTGACAAAATAGTGCCTGTGTTCCTAGTATTCCAAGGGAATATTGTAATTCTGAATGTTGTAATTCTATTTTTCCCCCTAAATTTTGACATGACTTTCAAAGCTTAAGGATAATTCAGAATAAGCACAGTTCATCAGCAATTTGGCGCTTTCCAAGATTAAGAGAATATTTGAACTGCCACACCCACATAGTTCAACAGGTATAAAGAAAGTAATGCCCAGGCACTGCATCTAGCCTTTAAAAGCTGTTTCAGAGGTCTCTGGCACTTTCAGGCTCCCCCACTTCTTTGGCCAAATGCAATTTTCCCCAAGGAGGGGAGAAAAGAAAGAAAAGGGTTGTAAGTATTGTGGTTCCTGGAAACTTCCAGGAGCAGTGATTTATCTTTTAATTAAGTTGCACCCGCAACACACAGTTCAGCAGAAGAATACCACTCTTCTAACATGGCTGCCTCTTCCTAAAATACACTGTTCTAAGTTAGAGCGAACCTTGTCTGTGTCTCTGTCTCAGTGCCATTTTTCATATTTTGATAAATCCTAGTAGCTCCTGGAGATTCCAGGGGAGAAAATTGGCTTCTGGATCTACTGAAGTTACCCACCTCTGTGATATAACACGAGTTTTGATGCTTAACCTGTTTCCCTGCTGTTATTCTGGATAGCAACTGGAGTCTAGTCCTTGGCCTCCTTACAAGGCACTTCGGAAGCATTGTTGCTTATCAGTTTTCTCTTCAATACCAATCGTGCCTGTCTGTATTTAGAAATACCATGTTGGCCGACTGGCATATCAGCTGAAAAATGACATATCTGTTTTGAAGTTGACACTTGAATAGGAACCAAAAAGGCAAAAGTACCTTGTATAAGTAAAGTCCAGTACATTTGAGAGCTTGTAGATAATTTTAATTTTTGAATTGTAGCCCACTGTATTTTGATTTTTCATCTCTGTCATCTTCCAAATGGTTTCACATATATTTTACTGGGTATCGGTATAGTCATTCCATCTTGGTATTGTTCCTAACATTTTGCTTTGGGTTATAGAGATCGCAATCCTGTGTAAATGATGCTGGTGTAAGGGAAATGGCATAACTTGTGATGGCAGATTGCCACTGATTAAAGAGTCTCTGTTTCATTCCCTGGACGTGTCAAGCCACCCATTATGTGCAATGAGGAATCACACCAGGATCTCTTAATTCCTGGCAATCTGCTGCAGCAGTTTATGTCACTTCCTTTACACAAATGTAACTTGCCCAAGAGGATTTTGGCTGGAGTGGTACCAATGGGGAGGTTGATGGGAGTAGTGGTAGTGAAGGTATCAGTACAAACAGCTTTGATTCTTTTAAGTTTCTTGAGAAACCATATGTTGCTGCATAGTGGTGTCTTAATTCTCCTTGGTTTGTGTCACTAATGTGCACTGTTGATCACTGCCCTCAGTGAGTTTAGCCCTTGTGATAGACGCAACAGTGATGCATCCAGTGTGTCCTTATTTGTTCGTTTATTAAAAAGCATTTGTGCAAAAAGACTCACTGTATCTTAATTGCCCTGACTTCTGAGGTGCCCCTTTTGTAAAAAGTCAGACTAAACACTTTTGTCAAGTACAATATGTGATCATTTTCTTATAATTAGGTCTAACAGACTATAGACATTACTGAAAAACTCACTGATTTAATAATACTGGCAAGCACAAAAACAGCTTTGTGTGTTATATTCTTCCAGAATATATATGAAAGAGGAATGTATGAAATAAAGTGGCAGCATCTGCTGCATTTAAAACCTAGGCATGTGTACGTAGTTAGTGTCAGAATTGTTCAGGAGAAAATGTCCTTAATTATAAAACCCTCAGTCTGGGTTCAGTTCATGCAGCTTTGCTGATAGCCATGATGGAGACCCTGTGTAAAATGTCTCTTAGCAAAGCAAAACAACAACAGCAATAAAACTTGGGAAGAGAAGTAAGAATTAGGTGAACCTGAGAATAGCAATCTACATATCAACAAGTGCTTAAATGCAGGTGAAGCATACCTGCATCTACCCAGTTTCCTCTTGGTCTGTCACCTCTTTCCCCAGTTCACTTTAAATTCCAGCCATTGGCACTGAGACCTGTGTATGCAGTTGTGCATGGCACACTATCCATTTAGGTTCCAAAATGCTGCAAATTCATCCAAGTATTTAATAGATATAACCTTCTTATTTCACTTGATTTCCTCCTTCCCACACTTGTTTTTTGCAACTAAAAGAAATACAGAAGTTGGTTTTTTTAAAGTGTATTATTTATACATTATCAGATTTTTGTATAATAAATGCACATATGCTTCTGACTTGTAGCACACAGTGTTCCTTCACGGTTTTGGTATCTGGGAAATGTGATATTTACTACAGATTGCTTGTTCCTTGCTACTGTGATTACTGTGTAAAATAGAGTCAAACCCTACATCTGTTCAGAATGCACAAAATATTGTGGGCACTGGAAAGGGGCTTGGATGAGAATCACACTGTGGTTTGAGCATGCTGTGACTGGTGAAAAATGTGGCTTACTTCACTGTGGGTACGTGACTGTAAAAAACGAAACCATGATTTCAGGCTATAGTTTTGACAAACTGGCCTTAATTATCACATAGGTTTAGAGGTATATGGAGATCCCATATAAATTGGTGTGTGGAAATGTTGATAGGTATGTGAAAAAGTTGCACAATGGTCCAATTTCAGAAGCTGTTTTATTTCAGGTGCATGTCTTATTATTTTGCTTATAATTTGAAATTTTCCAAAGCTGTCCATTGCAGGCTTTCCCCCCTTTCTTTAAAAGATGTAGCCTGGTCTAAAACAGAACACGTATATGTTGATGCTTGAGTCATAATTCATTTTGTATTATTAAGCAGCCCATAGTTAATTTCTATCTTTTTGTTTCCTGTACAGCCAGTACTCTATTGACTTCAACACCAAATAGAAAATAGAACAAATCTTTAAAATGGCAGGGATTAATAAATCCTTTTTAATGTTAAGTTATAGGAAACCAGAATACCGTATTTCATGCCACTTGTCATGTTTACAGCATCAATATTTTTCTTCTATTTCTGACTGCATTAATAGGGCTGCACAGCAGATTTCTTAGCATATTGTGCAATTTAAGAGTATACTTAGTGCACACATATATTACCATGTGCGCCTTGGGAAGTAACAGGTCTTTCATTGAAAAACTTTGTTTCAAGAGTAAACAAGCTTTCAGGTTGCATACAAAACTCATAACAGCTGGAATGAGAATATCACTAATTTTCAGCTAAGTAAACATTAGGGATTTCCACAACCATTGCAGGAAACGGCAATGAAAATGGGCCTTGGAAAGGCCAGGCGTCATGGCCTACAATAACCCAGATGTATTCCACCTCTGTGACTAAAGTGTAGGATTAATTTTTCTAGCACTTGTAGTGAGAAGAAGAGAAACACCTCTACCAAAATTGCATGCTGAATGATGGATTTATTCTTCGCTGGGAGAGAGAAGATGACTTGCTACAGGCTGAGAGTTATCACTTCCTTCTTGGCCTTTTGTAACTAAATTAATTGCGATGCCAATATGTATAATGCCTACTAGAAATGTCATATCTACATAGTGTATGTGCATTGTATTCTGATTTTAAGAAGGTCTTGGTTTATACAGCCCAGTTTGTTGGAGCCACATAGAATTACTACAGTTAAAGGGGGAGACCTGCAGAAGGAACAATTTTGCTTAATGATCTGTGTTTTTAATTACTTGAATTCCTGTTAGTACTGTTAGTAATTGATAATGTTTTGTTGTGCCAGTCCCTTTCACAGTTTAACTCCTTGTTTGCATTCTTGGAAGGAATTTAAAGAACAGTGAGGTTGTGTAGTAAAATTCTCAGTAATACATATTTTGCTAGTAGTAATGATGAATAAGATTAAAAGCTTAAATGGACTCCTTGATCAAGCTTTATTCCTAGATGGCAGCAGTTTTACCACTATAAGTATCATACTTGCCAAATTTGTTGTTTAGTCGTTAAGTCATGTCCCACTCTTCATGACCCCATGCCAAATTAGAGCCATGCTAAGAAAAATGTTTAATGATAAGGGCCTTCTGGATGGGTAGAATGTATTTCCATGTCCTAATCACTCTCAATTTCCATCCATAAGGATAAAACAAACTAAAATTCTTTCCCTGAGTGATCTGTAGGGTGCTTTCTGACCCCATGAGAAGTCTGGCAAGTCTTGGCAGTAGGGTTAGGGTTGTACTAAGGTTAGGATTTGAATTGGATGCTTTTTATTTCCTAAACCCACCAAGAAATCTATTGTCCTGGTCAACCAACTCACAACCAAAGTATTTTGTTTCTGCACGTTTGCATCATGGGTCATCAAAATGAAAAAAAAGAGACTTCAATGACAAATGCAATAGATGTGTTTGGATTTTTTTTTTGGTTCCCATTTTTTAATTATTATTTTTATTCTAAAAAAATGTTAGAATTTACAGGCTTTGTTTTACAGTTCACCAGGTGACAAAGTTGCACAATGTCAATATTGTAAATCTAGTTCTTTGCGACTTCTGCAACA